AACAGATAAACATACCAGGCGGTCCCATAATGAACTGGCCTGATATAGTTCAACGCGACATGTCGCTACATGTTGTGTTGCATTAAATAGTACGTTTATCGTGCACTTAATATAAGAAACATGCATCGACATGAAATGCTTAGTCTTAGTTTAACAGGCATTTGAATAACGAGAGTCGCGTATTTTTTCAAAATGTTGAAAACTGAGTATCGAAGTGTCATAAAGTTTCTGTTTAAAGAAGGTTTATCCCCTGCCCAAATAAAAGAACGATTGGATGGCGTGTATAAGGAGTCTGCCCCCTCCTTAAGTTAAGGGTGAAAAGCCCCTAGAAAGGCAAAGGTGCAACAATCGACTAAAAAACTGATGTGCACAATATTTTGGAATTTTCAAGGCATTTTGATGGTGGATTTTAAAGAACGTAATACAGTCGATAACGGCGAATATTATGCTTCTTTAATATATAAATTACGAGACAAGATAAAGGAAAAACGAAGAGGCAAGCTGTCTAAAGGTGTCCTGTTGCACCATGACAACGCCCCTGTTCATACCGCTAGTGTTTCGAAGGATGCAGCGCGTCAATGCGGGTTCACAGAAGTTCAACATCCACCTTTCAGTCCAGACATGGCCCCGTCCGACTATTATTTATTTCCAAATTTAAAGCGGGACTTAAGAGGAAGAAAATTTTCAAGCGATGAAGAGTTGCAGGCGGCCGTCTTCAGTCATTTTGAGGATAAAAAATGTGATTATTTTTATAAAGGTTTAGAGATGTTGATTCACAGATGTCAGAAGTGTGTTAGTATTCATGGTGATTATATTGAAAAATAAAATTGGTTTCGTTTCATTTCCTTCATTGGTTCATAGTTAGGCCAATTCATTATGGGACCGCCTACGTACATACATACATGGCCTTTTAAAATTGGAGCCAACCAGTTGGGTAAAAATATTCACTCATGTCTTCTGTATCAAATCCAAAGACACGAATATACTGCAATCGGTATCGATAATTTAAGTTGAGGTAGCCAATGCATGGAGCAAAACTATTTGTCACCCACATATGCATACTATACGCACACTGGTGTATTTTGATTTTGGTCTTACCTTTATCACTTTATCGCCCATCTATACTATACTTTAAACTATATAAGTACTATTTCTATGAGTATACCTATGTATATGCATGTTACATACAGCCTACAGACTTGTATTAATTCTGTAATTTACTTCGTCAGCATATACACAAAAAAGTTTATAATTAGTCTCAGCATTAAAGTACAATATGTTTCACGATAGAAGTCCTGCGGAAATATATGATCTTAGATGTAACGTATGGTATTGAAATGAAAACGCCATTATGTATACTTTTATCTGCAAATGGTGCATACCTTCTTAAATCCAAAATTTCAAATTGGTATTGTAAAAAAAGTTTTCAATAAGAATTGCATGTAATTTATATTAACAAAATATTCTATTCTTTTAAATAATACTAGCTTTTACTAAACTAGTATTACTTAAATGTGTAGTTTCGCGTAAATATAAGAAATGATTATATTCTATTCAATGCCCTAACCCTACGTACTTTTCCAAAGTATTAACTAAAAGAATGGAACGAAACGTATTTTACAAAGATAATCGAATCTAGCGCGGTGCTATAACTTAAGCAATGAGTAAACGCGAAATAAATAATTAAAATAATAATCTCTTATTAAAATTGAAGGCAATAATCTAATTCGACGTGCCGTGTTGTGTTATTATGTAATACAAGAAGAAAACCCGCCTGCAAAATAAACATTTCAAAAAAAATTCGCTGTTTTATGAGGTACGTTTTTCTTCCTTGTAAACCAGGAGTATCTTAATCCCGCATTTCCTTCCCCAATGCACCTCACGGACCATAATTTGGTGTTTACAACAAATATCAAATTTCGCGAAAATAACCGCGTCAGTGGCGCGGTTGTTTTCTTCTTTAATTGCGTTGAATGTGTAATGAAGACTAACAAAAACTTCATCTTCTTATACGATCAAGTAAGTCATAAATTAATTTCTAGTGTGGTGGCCGTAGTAGATGGATTACCTCCTGGCCTCACTGGAGCGGGAGGCCCTGGTCGTCGTCGGCCATCTGAAATTGTCGGACGACGCCTACCAGACTGCTTGGGATCTCCTCGCCGGAAGTTACACCAACGTACGGCGAATTGCGGACGAATATATCAAGCAGCTGCTAAACCTCCCGCTGCTTAACGACCGGGCCAGAGTACGTCCGGACATCGTAAATCCAGTCTTGGTGGCCTGTAATTCTTTAAGGCGGCTGGATTTACCGGTGGACGAGTGGTCTTTTTTGTTGCTCCACATTGTGCTGTCCCGCCTGCCTCTCGATCTTCGGCTCAATTTTGAGGAGAGGTACGGCGGGGACGGCGCCTCCTATATTCCGCCCTTCATGGACCTGCTGTGGTCATTGGAGGAGCAGTGCAGGCAGATTGGAAACGCAGCGGGCACAGTCGAAGACCTACAGAATGCCAACCGAGCCGTGCCCAGGGAGAGGAGGAATTCCCCGGGCAAGTCGTCGCCAACCCCCCTCAGACCGAGCGGAGATTCCGCGGGAGGGCGCCGCCCCCTACCTTCTTATAGTGGCCTAGTGGCCTGGGAGGCGCCCCCCTGCTCCTATTATATACTAAGATACAGGATTTATCCTATTTTAGGAATCAATGCAACATTTGTTTTATAACTTCTTAAGATTTTAATAAAGAATATTATTATTGTTATTGGGGGTATCAATATAGTTTTCTCATCTGGTTGGGTTCTATAAATATATAATTATAAATGGAAATGTAAAGATAAATACACATAAATATCAATAAAATTAAATAAATATAAAACATAAACAAATAAAAGCCAAACCAGATGGAGGCCCTCGGCAGGGGAGACCAAACGGCCGAGGGTTAGGGGGAAAGGAAAAGAAACTGGTGGACTATGCGGGCGGTATCGAGGAGCACCGCCTTCTGTATTGGAGCCTGGAGCGGTTCGCCACGTAGGCCCAGCCGCCTCAGATAACCCGAGAGGCTGACTGGGATTAGCCCATTTGCAGAGACGACTACAGAAATAATTTCGGTCGGCAGACTAGTCCACATGTCGGTCACCTCGTGAAATAGGTCCAGATATTTTGTTCGTTTATCTGTATCGGCTTTCACGAGGTTCTCGTCATACGGAATGATAATGTCGACCAAAAATATCCTTGACTGTGCCCGGTCCATCAGCACAATATCAGGCTTATTCGCAAAAATATTTTTGTCTGTGATGATGGCCCGGTCTCAATATAGCCTGGGGCGATCATTTTCGAGCACGGCTTCCGGCAAGTACTTGTAATACGGCAATTTCCGATCCACGAGACCGTATTTCAGAGCAAGCTCCTGGTGAAGAATTCTGGCTACTAGGTTGTGTCTGTGCTACTTGCACTCAAAGTTAGAAAGCGCCGAACACCCGGAGATGACATGCCTAAGTGACTCACCAGGATGGCGACAAGCTCGACAGATGTCGACGGTGCCATCCTTTAGGATGTATCTCCAATAGTTGTTGGTCTTAATTACCTGATCTTGTATTGAACAGACAAAACCCTCGGTTTCCCCGAAGAGGTCACCAAAGCGTAGCCAGTAGAGGGAGGCTACTGCGTCTACGAAAGGCTTATGTATAGCCTTGTAGAACCTCCCATGGAGCTCCTTCTCCTTCAATACGATCTCCCGGTCGGAAATGCTCTGCACTGCCGGGTCTTGCCATTGCTCGTTGGCTAAGGATAGAGGGGTAAGTCCTTTATCAAAAGAAATGACGTCCTTATAGAATGAATCGTCCGATCTCGCCAGGAAGTAATCACGGAGGCTGCACACTTCGCGATTATGCATGGTGAGCGCGCTCAGGAAGCCACGCCTATCATGCTTTCGCGGCAAGTACAGCCTCATTACCGACGATCTCGGATGATGCATCCTATGGGACGTCATGGTAGTGCGGACTTTTCTATCCAGGGTGTTAAGTTCAGTCTGAGTCCACCTGAGTATGCCAAAGATATACATGAGGACAGGCATGACGCGTTATATACGTGTGCCTTATTCACACCGGACAAAAGGCTGTTAAGCACTTTGGTCAAGCGTGCATAAATCATGTCGCAAATGACAAAGGATCGTACTCCACTGCCCCATACACTGCTCGAGGAAGTCTCTAACCGTACAGTCTATCTTGCATAGCTCGAGGACTCTCTTTAGCTATGTATGGAGCACCGAGTTGAATGCCTTTCTGTAGTTTATCCAGGCAGCGGAGAAGTTCCGACGGTTGCGTTTCACCACTATGCCAATGACCGCGTCAATGAGGAGTGGTTCTTTGGTTCCACGACCACCGCCCCGACATCCATTTTTAGCGCGCAACATTACCTGATTTGAGGTGACGAGTGGTTCTCGCGCTCAAAATGGATGTTAGTGTCTTGTATATGGTCGGTAAAAACGTGATGGAGCGGTATTTGCTCGGGTCTGTGGTACCCGGGTCTTTAGGAACCAAATGGGTTATCCCAGCAGTGAAGAGGCTCGAGAGCGACTTCTGGTTGAGAGCCTCTTGAAACTGTCGGGCGAGCACAGTGTGACACACCACGAATCCCTTCAGCCAGTAGTGATGCACCCCTTCGAGTGCCGGACTTTTCCAGTTCGGGGCCCTACGGACCGCCTCAGCTACGTAATCCGGTGTTATAATTACGGGGTCCATGGGCGTTATACTCGCACACTGACTCGCCATAACTTCCGTCCAAGGGCTCTCGCTGTGGTTTACGGGCTCTGACCACAGGCCGCGCCAGAATGCTACAGTGTCGGCCTGATTCGGTGCTGGGCCCGTTCCACTTACCATTGGTCGCTCCAATGATTCATAGAGCCTCTTCTGATCACTCTGGAAGAGACGATTCTGGTTGAACCGTGTCGACCTCTTGGTATATCGCCGAATCCACTTTCCCCAAGCAACGATTCTCTGCTTCAGATCATCTATGCGCTCAGTTTTTGCGTTATATCCGGCTGGGACAAACTAATATTTGTCCCAGCAAACGCCATCCTGACGGTGCGCACAATTCTTGGCCTGTTATTACCTGATCTGAAGCATATCAGTCTGCCGATGAGAGCTCCAGCCTTTGCGATACGTTCCACAATTCTTCTTCTCCATGCTGGGATAGCGCTACTTTGGCCAGTAGCGCGTCCAGCCGTGGAAAACTTGGCGTCTATGATACGGCAGACTACCAGCGCGGCCCCAAAAAGAATTGAGTCCGTCTCGTAAATGTCCCGGCTGGCTTTCAAATAGGTCACCAGCATTGGGTTCAGAGCCCTCACGACAGCCCGATTCCGTTTGCTTAGGGCTATGCGGGGAAGTCGCGGTCGATTTTCGAGAGGCGTACTGCGCATTTCCACAATCGCCTCTTCCAATGTACTCCTCATATGATCTAATTCCAGTTCCTGGGCGACTGTTCCATCATCGTTTGAATCAACCACAACTGGGGTATTCACGGCAGCATCCACGTTTGCGGGTTGCCCTACAATTTGTGGCGCCGCATCCTCAGCCGTAGCATTTTCATCCGATGAGGGAACAGCCTCACGTCGTAGCCGTTCGAGTTCGGCGACATCAAATATATTTGAGCGCAAGATATACTGAACTCGGACTGCCAGGTTTTGCTCTGTGACGGTTAAAGATAGCTCCAGCTCAGCAAAAAGACCTAAAAGCCCTAAAGTACGCCCGCAGTGCGTTTGCGTTCATTGTTTGTGACCTACGCATGCGACGTGCTCCACCTGCGGCGGGTGTCGCTTGCTGAGTCCGAGAAGACCCAGCCGACACCAAGCCTTCTGGTGGGGATGATGGATGCGGAGGGCTGCTAGGTGACCGTGCAGCTCCTCGCGCTCGGCTGGCGGCCCGCATGCTGCCGCGTCCAGCGCCAGCTCCAGACACGCCCCGGCGACCCCCAGGTAGCGGCCCTTTGCGCATTCCTGTTTGTGCCATCATCCATTTAATGGGCGCCAAATAACGGGAGACGCCCAAGCCCGGCACCGTTTCGTGGTTCGGTCATATGCACAAACGGATTTTTGCACCCACAATTTTGCCTAGGCACGACGCTCACACCTCTTGGCAGAGTGCTGACTGACTGCGCCGACGTAGCAGTTTTGTCACATAACTGTTACGTCAGCGGGCGATGGGGTCGTCACTTCCCTACGCCTTTATTTTTTTTTATTATTAGGGGTAAGATAGAGTAATCACATCTGGTTGGGCTGCATAAATATATAAAAGGATTATTATATATATTATTATTATTATTGTCTAGCGTCCGATCATCGGGTGACGTTGTGCCCGAAATTATTGAATAAGCTGGTCCCAGCGAGACGAATCATCGCCAAGGAGCGCCGCTGGTGCTACTCGTGTTTGGAAAGGCATCTCCAACGAGACTGCCCGCACCAGCGGCCCTGTCCGCACTGCCAGGGCAATCACCATGCCATTTTGTGTTTGGGTGCGAACGGCGCTTCCTCTCGGAGCTCTACCGGGCCCTCAACCCCCACGGGCGGAGGCGCTCAGCCACGCCCTTCTGTCAGGCGACGCTCGTCGCTCCTCTGCCAGCTACCGTGCCCCTGGTTTTGAAGGGGGTCCCTCCCCCGACCAGTCGTGGGGTCGTTCACCCAGGGGGGAGTCGTCAACCCCCTCAGCGTGTGGAAAAGAACTTTACGGCCACTCAGCGATCCCTTCGAGACCCTTCTTACCCCCGTTGGCTGAGAGGCCGCGACTGGAGTGCCACCCTGCCCCCTTTGGTCGGTACCGGTAATCCGGGGTTCCTGCAACCTCTAATTTGTCATGAGCCTCAAGGCCAAGGTTCCCCGAAGCTCCCCAGGTTGGCCCGTTCGGTAAATTCCAACCACGGGTTATTGAGAGGCCGCCGGAATGCCGCTATCGGGATCCGCGGTTCGAGGCCGCTTCAGCTAGGTAGCGGCCACCCTAGCTCCCACCACGGCCGCCTCCACTGAACAAGTGAGCCGTCAACAGCCCACTTGACAAACTGTTCTATTGCCGACGGTCTCAGTGAAGGCGTACAACCCGAGTGGCGACTGTTTAACGGTTCGCGCTCTATTGGATTAGGGTTCACAAGCTGTGTGGCCTCCGCTTGGTTGGTGGGAAGATTAGGGCTCTAAATATCTAACGTTTTATTTGAAGATAAAATATGTGAGTAACTTATTATATTCAAACGTTACAAAAAACGTAACATTCAACGTTATATTATGTTAAAAGATTGTTAGTAGAGCTTACTATCAGAGTTAGTGACATTTTACATTTTTACGATGTAGCTCTTAAAACGTGTCCCTTTTGTTTTTTGTTTTTGTTCTTGTATTTTTTTCTTGTGCTTTTATTATTGTGCTTTACTTGCTCGTAACTCACCATCAAGTTCAGAATGCTGCTATAATATAATGCGGCTAATTTGCAGCGGGAGTTTTGGATTTTGGCTGGCCGACGCACCATTCGGAGCGTCATTATTATGTAATAAATTGAAGGCCACCATATCGCAGTAGATGATGGGTTACTTACCACCCGACCGCGTCAGGGCCATCCGACTATTCGCTGGAGTCGGAACCGACTTTGCTGGCCCCTTCTTCGTCTCGTCCTCCAACCTACGCGCGCGCGTTCACATAAGGCCTATCTGTGCGTTTTCGTGTGCCTCGCCCCTAAGGCCGTTCACTTAGAACTTGTAAGTGCCCTCAGCACTGAAGCCTTTGTGGCCACGCTGGGCCGCTTCGTATCGCGTCGCGGTTTGCCGGACCGGATCCCGTCGGATTGCGGAACGAATTATAAGAGCACGGATAGATATTTGAAGGAGGTCGTCGAATTTCTTTCCAGCAACAGGACTTATTTGGCTACTGCGATGTCGGGGAAGGGCATCCAGTGGAAATCGGCCCTCCGGCTTGCCCACACTGGCCCGCTAATTTTGAGGCGATGGTTGGTGTTGCAAGAGCGCATCTCCGTCGCGTTATTGGCGAAGCTATTTTGACATTTGAGGAGCTTGACACTGTATTCTGTAAAATTGAGTCGGTACTCAACTCTCAGCCCCTCTGTCCCCTCTCGTCCGATCCGAATTATTTGGAGGTCTAACCCCGGGCCGCTTTCTGATTGGCCAGCCGCTTAACGCCCTGCCCGAGTACCCCTTCAGGGAAACAAATGACTCAGAGTTTTGGCACCGATGGTCTCTGGAGTACCTACATCATTTGCAGCAGCGCGTTAAGTGGTCTGACAGGACCGATCCTCCTCGGGTTGGAGACCTCGTGTTAGTTAAGGAACCTAACGATTTGCTCTTGTATTGGCGCCGTGGGCCCATTGTTAAATTGTCGTATGGACCGGAGGGGGTACCTAGGGTGGCCGAGGGTTTTGGTTGGAGATTCGGTCCTGCAACGTGCTGTCGCGACCCTATCCCGGTTGTCAATTTACTCGCGGACATAAGTCCTTATCTCCGGGACGGGGGTTTGTTTACGCTAAATCATAACTCTTGAAACTTGCAAGGCGCGTCCCGGGCGAGGAACCGGTTGGCGGGTTGCGCGGGGGGAGTATACATTCGCGCCGGCGACCGCGCCTTCCAGTCGGCAGTAATCCTTGAGCGCTGTAGCTGCACCGGTGGGGGTCGCAAGATTAGCCTAGAACATTCGATTGCGCGACGACAGTGTCAATTAAAGGTCGCGGGTTTTGATAAGAATTACGGCGTCGAATAACGACGGCTTCCATGGTGTTGTATTTTGTCGTTAATATACGTGACAACGAGGCTTTTGAGTTTGGTTTTAACTTCAATTGCTATTAATTTGCGTCGACTGGTGGCTTGTGTATTTAATTAAGGTTAAAATAAATTAGTTAAATTGTACGAAGGAATATTTCTTTAGTGTGGAACGCTAAAATTTGTGATCTGGGTTGTAGATCGCGTTCCCTCCGATTATATTTGTGCTAAGTGACGTTGGACTTTAGTTCCGATAGCGGTTAACGCTGGAGTGATTGCACAAGAGAAGCTGGGCAGCGCATGCGGTTCTGCTACCTGATTATATCGGTGACGTCAGGTTACATTACACACTTCTCACGAGGCCCATAGTAGTCGAGTTGGACTACTATGGGCCCTAGTCCAGTCAACTTTTGTTGGGGTAACTGGGGGCCGTAACAAAAATAGTGTAAACGGTGCCAAAACACTCGCATCGTTGAATCGAAATGCAAATACGTTCTCAACCTCAAGGACTAATATGGGTTGCTTCGCTTTTAATAAGCAAAGCAAAGCAGCTGCTATTTCATGCTGGTATACCGTGCCAGTGCGTCTTGCTGGTGTCTCTCACGAGTGCCTCTCGTGAGAATGCCCTGCGATTGTGTCCCGCTAGTGCGTTTCACGAGTGTTTCCCACGAGTGCTTTCCGCAGGTGTCTCGTGCTTTCATCCCAAAAGTGTGTACGCATTCGAGCCGATCCATTTTTGTTACAGCAATAATACCTAGCTCTCACAAGTACTTAATGCCCCAATGATGGGCTCAGGCTTGTATTGAAGCAGGCAGTTTATTGTGTTACTGCAATGTGTGTAGATAGACTTTCCAATAGCCTCGAAATATTTTTTTATAACAAATTGGTTTCCTCAGGACATTTTCTTTAACCTTAAAAGTAGTTGGTGAGCCTTACGTAGGGTATACTTAAACTTGCGTTACTTATAAATAAAATAATTTATATATAAACGAATATATATTCACTGCTTTTCAAAGCATTTTCTATTACATTTTAATCATTTTTGCATTCCTTTAAAATATTTTGGCAACAGAAGGACTATTAGTCTGAGGGTACAATTTTCACTTGCTGGTTGAAAGCTATTACGGTTTTTCTGGCTATGTAAATGTCAAATCTCTTATAATTTTTTTGGTTTTGAAAAAATAAAGAAATCTCATGGTCAACATAACACACATGCAGTAAATTATATCACACTACGTCTGGAAAAAATATAACTAAAAGACAAAAATTAAATGCGGCCCATAACCTTAAATTCATATATGCAGAACTTTTCAATAAAAAAGCTTAAAATTTAAAAAAAATTGTTTAATAAGAGTTATTATACTACTAAAGAGTACATGATTGAAACTTAAACCTTAATATTCGCAAATGGAATGAATCAAAAAATATTGTTAGATGTCATTAATGTTCTTGAAAAACCTATCCATCAATACCCGATTGAATAGAAGGTTCAAGAAAATCATCCTCCCTTTACCTGTATAGGAGGTACCAGAAATAAAAAAAAATATTTAAGATTTTTTTGACGCGATAAATATCTAAAACTATGCCAAATTACAGATTTGTAGCACCTACGGTCTCCGAATAAATCCGCGGATGGTCGGACGCACGGACATAGTAAAACCCTAACGGTTATTTAATGTTTAACTTCGGAACCCTATAAACGATTTTTTCCAGAAATCCTTTGTGATTGGGCGGCGGACCTTAGGGATGCCAAGTCCGATTCCCGCGAGCCTTAACCCTATTACGCGAGATGTTATACTAGATGAACTATATACGCGGTAAGCTTCTTCTGCCTCAACAAGATGGCAGAGGTATCACGCGGTTCCTTGACAATTCACTCGCTCTTCCGAAATCTATTGTTTGCCAAAGTTATGAAGGAATCCTGCTTGAGAACATTAGGAGGAATGAAATGGCGCGGGTTAACTAACAAAAAAATACTCAAGCAGGCATTGAGTTATAGGAAAAAGAAAGACACTAACCGGGGTGTGACTTCGATGCGGCTTGGACGCTTCTGTTGCTGCGATGCGACTTCTGGCGGATCTCCTGGGGCCCCAGGGATGTGGTCCTGGCCGGTGGTGCGATGGAAGAGAGCGCACGAGGGCCGTGCGCGAGCTTATATTGCTTCGGCCCTCTTATCAATACATCTCGGTCGGGCGCGCTTCCCACTGGTTGCGAGAATCACGCAACATTCTAGAATCTCTTCTTTCCCCTATCACCACACCAC